CCCACTTCTAGAGCTCAGATGGGGAAAGCAGCAGTTCAGAAAAGCAGCATCTCTCCCTGTCCAATTGCCCTGTTTAGTTGCACTTTTTCTTATGTTGCTAATGTCAACACTGTCTTCTTCTCAAGGAGTGCAGAAGGGTCAGGGCCAGCAGCTCCATGTACAAAGCACTCAGTTTAATTTGTTCTCAAAGTTCACTATGAATGAGATGCAGCTCCTAGCAAAATCAGGGGAGGCTTGACTGAGGCAGAGTCAGAATGTAACATCTGAAGAGGCTTCTTTGCCTTGCAAAATCCTGGAAGGCAATTTAAACATGAGAGGTAGGCAAAGAGCCCATTCTCGGGATCTGTAATTAATCACATACAGTTCAAACAGGGAGAGAGAGGAGTTCCCAGCTTTCTTGGAGTCCAAGCTGGTTCAAACAGGGAGCGACAAAACTCTCAGGCTGTCAAGGAACAGCCTTAAAGAGGTAATGCCAGCTGAGCAACAACAGCACAGCCCTTTAACCTCCCAGGTAACTGGGCAGAAAGTCTAGAAGAAAAAAAAAACTGCATCAGCTGGTGAAAAGACACCATTATCTGCAGATTTGTGGTGCTGCACTTCTTCCTGGCCTTGCTTATGCCTATGGTAACTCATCTTCAGTGGAGCCATAAGCCCAGCAAGCACCATTTGGGCCAAAAGAAAGTCCCAGTTACCATAAGACCCCATCTCTGACACCAGCTGCTAAGAGGAGTCTTGAGGAAGAAGAAGAGGATGGTCCATGTCGCTGTGTGCCCGTGCAGTTAACAAATGGAGGAGTCAGTCATACTCCTTCACCTTTGCATCCACAGCAGAAGTGTGCTCAGGTGTGTATAGCCCTGGTGGCCAGTGGTGCAAAAGTGTAAGCCAGCCATCTGGCAAGGTATTTCAAGAACTGAAAGCAAAATAAATTAAGTTAATTAATGACAAGAGCTTCTGACCCACCTCTGGGCTGTGTGCAGTGCCTGCATTCACACAGCAAGGGTAGTAAGGCAAGTAGGGCAAGTAAGCAAGGGCAGAGGAAGCTTCAAAATTAAGAGGCCAAATCTACTCTAAGGAATTGAGTATAACTGTCAGATGAAAACACACTGACTTCTCTGACTTAATTTATTTAATTAATAAATAAATAAATAAATAAGAGGCTTGGGGCCAACCAACCTGGTCTCACCTTTTCCAAGATGCACTCTGACCCACAGGGTGGCATCATCTCTGGCACTGGTGAGCTACAATTATCCTGATCACAAAACCATCCAGAGCTGGAGATATAGACAAAACCCCCTTTCCCACTGCAGCTCCCAAACAGCACTTTAAAGGCACAGGTTAAATTCCCCTATTCCTCTCCAAGGCCCTGCTTGGCGGTTTCTTTCCTTTCAATCTCCTTTTACTTATTCCTATTTCTCACCTTTTGGTTTCTCTTTAGTAAACTGCTCATCTACTGAAGGCTGCATCTTCAGCCAGGGGCCCAGGGAGAGAGCTGAAGGCTGCAATCTGAGTACAAGTTGGGTAAATCCCACAGTAGCTTAGAAATCCCTTTTTCTTTCGCAGCAGAGTTGTTAAGAGGAGTTGGCACCAGAGACAGAAGCATTGTCAAGGGTTGCTACTCTTCTCTCTCCCCTTCAAGCCTTTAGCAACAACTGCACTTTCCCACTTATTTCAACTAACTTCTCCTTTCCCCTAAAGAAAGGATAATCATTAGCTTTTTTGCTTTTTTTTTAGCACTGTCAAATAGGAGGTTCCTTATAAAAATTCTTCCCAGCTAAGGGGAAAGCGAAGAAAGGATATTGTTAATATGAAAGCCTCATTTAATGCTTTAAATTTCAAATACTGTAACTGCTTTTATTTCCCCTCCTTCTCCTTTCTCTGACTTCTCAGTGTACAGCTTAAACATCATTAATAGTGTTGGTTGCTATGGTGCTGGGCAGGCAGAGGTCTCTCAACTTGAAACCTTGAGCTACACTTAATGTTGTACAACAGCTGGGTCATGCCAACACCTTTGACTATGACCCCATTTTTCCCAGTGAAATAAAAAGATCACGTCTCCTTCCTTTTTCTTTTTTTTTTTTTCTTGGGATAGGGTTCAGGTTTTTTCCCTGTAATGAGAAAAGGGAGTGAGAGAGAGAGGAGGAGAGATATAAAAAAAAAGAAAAAGAGAAAGAAAGAAAAAAAAAGAATAGACCAAATGGAATCTTTCCAAAAACTTTAACAGTTACATCAGAAAATCATGAAGGAGAATTTAAAAAATACAGTCCTCTGAAAAGTTTCACGTGAGATTATATCTCATTTTCCCAAGTAGCTAAACATTTTAATAAACTAGGAAAATGAGACCGTAAAACCACAACATCTGACAGCAAGCCCCAAGGGCAGGAACCATTCCTGAAACTAATTTTAACTCAGGTTTTAACGCTGATCAGATTTCATGTGGTGAGTGTCCCCTTAAGCTGTCTCTCTGTTCTTAGAGAAAACCTGGTTTCTTTTGTCGACTCTGAGAAGCTATTTTCTTCCCAGTGCATTGGCGTCACAGGCATAAGAAGACTTTTCTGTCATTCATCTCTACAGCCCAAGAGATGTCCTGCCCCAGACATCTTCTCCTCTCTTCTCAGTTTCCTTATAAGACAAGACATTTTCGGCAGAAGTGGCACTTAACTGCTCCAGCAATGAAGCCCAGTCAGAAACTGGTCCCCATGCAGTCATTCAAGGCCTCAAGCCATCTGACATCTGATCTTCAGCCATGCAAAAGGCACCAGGCCAGTTCAGACCAGGATCCAAAGCATATTTCCAATTTCTCTGTTTTGCTTTTCCCCAGAAGAGCTCTCCACAGCAGTTTCTTCTCCATCTCTGGGCACATTAATTGCATTTTCCTTGGATTGTCATCAGGACATCTACAGGTAGGACTGGCTTTTTAGCTCCAAGACTCAATTAGCAACACAGCTGAGAGTTTGAAAGGAGAAAAAAAAGAAGATACCCATGTAGTGTTGATTTCTCTTGAAGACTCTCATTTCTTCTCAAAGAAGCACTCTTCATCTTCTTGTTCAGTTCAAGCCAAAACCTTTGCCACGTAGGGCAGGACTTCTTTATGCCACACCTTGTCTTCCAATATTGGGCATCTCTGTATTGAGCTGCATTGTCCCTAGGCTGGTGTAGCTGTGTGAGACAAGTGCTTTGCATGACTCAAGGAATGGTTACTGGCATCAGCCACCCCTGTCCCTGCTCAGGATGAATTTCCAGGTAAAAGGCATGTTGTGCAAGGGAAGCAAGCAGGACTCACTGCTGCTTCACAAGCTGGTTAAATGACAGTAAGAATGACCAGGCTGGAAAACAGCTCTACAGGCTCCTGCTTTCTGCTTCTCCAGAAATTAAAGTGCTCATTCATTTCTAGATCCCCCTTTGCAGTGGTGAAAGGCCTTTCTGATGCCTTTTCTTTAAACATCATGTCTGCTGGGTAGGGGTTGCTGGGGCTTGGGGGCTGGAGGTGACAGGGTGACCAGCTTTCAAAATAGTAGAAATACAGTGATAGCTGCCCACAGCTCCCCCAGCCCACCAGCAGAAGGCTTAGTCACATCAGCAGCATCAAAGCTGGGGAAAGGGCATTTGTCCTTTCATCTGGAGATTACAGGGCTCTTTCATAGATCCCAGCAGTGTGTTTTGAAAGGCTCTTTAATGAGAAATACCTGGTTGTGGCACCATCTGTCATTTAAAACAGCCTCTTTGCATTCCAGCCTTCCCTGCCACGCTCTCCCCCAGCTGTGTAACTGTGTGTACAAGGATAAAATAGTGCCAAGGTTCCCTCCCCAGTGAGCAGAATTGCCCAGCTTTCATGCCAGGCTCTGTACTTGAGAAAAGGACTCTCCACAAACATGCCAGAAAGCTTATAACCTGTTTGGGCCTGGTCTATCCCCCTTTTGGGCTTCAGCAGGGACAGCAGGAAGGCAGAAAGCTGCTCTTAGCATCTCGGGAAAAGAAGTACTGAGATAAAAAGCTCTTTGCCTTGCTGTTTCCATTCTTTCATGACTTATTTTTTTGGTCAGGACACAGAGAAGATTATAAAGCTGTAACCCCTAATCCGCTCCTGAGTGCTCCTTCTCCAACTCTTCCTTCTTCCTCTCTTTCAGTCAGTCCTAATCCTTAATGTCTCCTCTCCCACAGGTAGGAGCTGGAGTCTAATCTCAGATGACAGGTTGGTAATTAGAGCAGGAGAATATCCTGACCCCATATCAAGAAAGTTATAAAAGAGGAATAATGCAGGGCCATAGATGATCAAGCCTTCAATGTTCGGTGCAGGAACCATCCTCATCTCATTCTGTCTCCTCCTGGCTTCCCCATCCCACACCTTCTCCTCTGTCGTGGCAGAGAGTGGAATTCCTGATTCTTTGTACTTCTTACCCATATCCCCCCTGCCAGGCAAGGACTATGCTTTTCCAGCACTCATTCAGCACAGAAATAGTCACATTTTCCATTTCTATAGACCTTGACTAAGCAAAGACTCAGCCAAGGGGCTGTGGCTGGGAAGAGTGGGTAGTGGGGAAAGCACAGGCAGATGTGGAGGCAGAGGGCCTGCTCAGAGAGGCTGGAGCCACCACACACTATCAGTCATCCCCAGCTGGGCACTGTTTACTCATATCCAGGGCTCTCCTAGTCCAGCAAGATGAATCCACAGCAAGGAGCAGCAGCAGGTCCCCATCTTTACCCAGATGCCCAGCAGTTACCACCCAGTCCTTGATCAGCATAGGAAGGCATCCCGTTCCCATCCCTCATGCCTGTCTCAGCACAGATGCCCATCCATGTGACCAGCCCGTATTATCCATCTTTGGGACAGATCTGGTCACTTGTCTTGTGTCACCAGCATTCAGCGATGACCAAAAATCACAGCCCAAGAGCACCACAGAAAAGGGGAAATTGGGAGCACTAAGCTTCTTCAGTGTCCCACCCCCATCCATACATGAAGTGAATGGATGTCACCAGGACCCACTGTAGCTGAGGCTCAGGCATCACCAGCCAACAGCCTGCAGGCACCAGGAGGTGTCAGGATAGAGATGGCAGTGGAGCGATCGAAACCTGCTGGGGAGAGAGAGAAGGAAGATCAGCAATCAGGTTTTACACCATCACTCTTCTGGAGAATGGAAGACCTCACGTCCCATTCCTCATCAGGCACCCACCCTGCACTACACAGCTCCAGAACTGGATGTTCACCTCAAGATGTCTGCTCTCAGTGAAGCTAAGCAGTCAAACCTCCCCTCAACACCTGAATAATCCAGCTCTGACCCATGTAGCCCAAGCCCATGGTGGCCACAAGCAGGGAGATGGGCACTGCACCAGCTTCCACTACATAGTTCTGTTGATGTTTTTTTCATCATCTAGATGCTTCCCACCCCTGCTATCTCCAGCCAGAAGCTTCCTACTCATGCTCTGCAAATAACAACTTTAGGTTTGTTCACTCGAAGCAGAGAAGGTAAATCAAAGAACACTTTTGTTTGCATTCAGCCTGAAGTGAACCTTTTTCCTTTTTTCCCTTCAGTTTTCTCAGCAAAACAGAAAATGAAAAAGCAAGCAGAATTTCCTTTCCTGAGTTTAAAAGAACATTTCTGTTCCTGTCCCTGGGGTAAAAGGTTAGCTTGTTCAGCGTCAAAATGTGAAATAAACTGCAATACTTTTGGCTCAGGAATTGTCCGGATAAAATGTTTTGATTCTCTTTTTCTTCCCACTCATCAAAAAAAGGTTTGCAAAGCTTGTAAGCATCCATGAACAGCTTACCACTGGTGTACCCCTCACCCAATAAGCCATGTGACTTCAAGGCTTCTGTCCCTCACTCTGCCTCCCCCTCCCAGCCCATTGTCTGAGGGCTCACACCACAGCAACACCCAGAGCACTCATGCCCCGTACCTTGAGGGGTCCTCTTGGGGTGAGAAGGGGCCACTGAGTTCAATAACATTGAGCTTGTTCTCAAAGACACCATAGCTGAGGGTGACCTGCAAAGGGGTGGTGAGAAAGAAGCAGGGAGGTTGAGGTGAGTTCAGGAGCAAGGAACTTGCTTTGGGTGACAGGAGCTCCCATTCTGGTTCCTTCTCTGCTGGCTTGACCTCTGCCTTCCATGTATCTCCTGTCTTCCTTCAACAATGGTCCACCATGCTCATCTTTTGCTTCTCCAAGCCCCTTACATCCCTTATTATCTCTTCAGGCAAGGCACTTGTGGTGCCATGCCAAAGCCCTTTGCCCAGTCAATCATCATTTCTGCTCGTTCTTGTGCCACATTACCCCAGGGATGCCCTCAATCCTCCCATCATGCCCCATCCAGTGGTGTCCCCACCACTGACCCCACAGGCACCACGACTGGCATTTTTACTGCAGGCAACATCTGCTCCATATCTGAAAGAAGCCTTTGTCAGGAAAGCCTGATGATTGATTGAATCCACATTAGTGCCACCAATGGAGCAACTCACCTGCTGAGTGAGCTGAGAGGGGGGGATGAGCTGCAGGTTCTCCAGGTGGGAATGGAAGAGC